AATTTGACAAAATTTAACATCTGTTCATGATAAAAAACTCTCACCATCACCAAAGTGGGTTTAGAGGGAATATACCTCAACATGATGAAGGCCATATTATGAAAAACGCACAGTTAACATCATACTCAATGATGAAAAACCAAGACTGTTTCCTTTTTAGATCAGGAACAAGACAAGGATATCCACTCATCACTTTTATTCAACATAGTACTGGAAGTCCTAGTCTCAGCAATCAGACAAGGAAAAGAAACAGCATCCAAATCAGTAAGGAACAAGTTAAATTGTCACTATTGCAAATGACACATTGCTATACATAGAAAACCCCGAAGACTCCACCAAAAAACTATTATAAGTAAAAAATAAATTCAGTAAAGTTGCAGGATACATAGAAATCATGTTTCTATATGCTAATAATGAAATATCAGGAAGAGAAATTTATAAAACAATTCCATTTATAATTATTCCAAAAAGAATAAAATACCTAAGAATAGGGGCACCTGGGTGGCTCAGTCAGTTAAGCATCTGCCTTCGGCTCAGGTCATAATCCCAGGGTCCTGGGATCGAGCCCCGCATCGGGCTTCCTGCTCCGCAGGGAGCCTGCCTCTCCCTCTGCCCCCAACTTGTGCTTGCTCGCTCGCTCTCTCTGGTGCTCTCTCTCTCTCAAATAAATAAATCTTAAAAAAAAAATACCTAAGAATAAACTTAATCAAGGAAGTGAAAGACCTATACTCTGAAAACTATAAAACACTAATGAAAGAAATATAAGGTGCTATAAACAAATAGAAAAACATTCCATGCTCATGGACTGGAAGAACAAATATTGTTAAAATGTCTGTACTACCCAAAGCAATCTACAGATTCAATGCAATCCCGATCAAAACACCAACAATCTTTTTCACAGAACTAAAATAACACTAAAATTTGTACAGAACCATAAAAGACCTCAAAAAGCCAAAGCAATTTTAAGAAAACAAAGTGGGAGGTGTCACAATCCCAAATTTCAAGATATACTACAAAGCTGTAGTAATTAAAACAGTATGATACTGGCACAAAAATAGACATACAGGCCAATGGAACAGAACAGAGAGCCCAGAAAAAAACCTATGCTTATCTAGTCAATTTTTTTTTAAAGATTTTATTTATTTGAGAGAGAGAGCACGAGAAGGGGGAGGGTCAGAGGGAGAAGCAGACTCCCTGCTGAGCAGGGAGCCTGATACGGGACTCAATCCTGGGACTCCAGAACCATGACCTGAACCAAAGACAGTCACCTAACTGGGCCACCCTTATCTAGTCAATTAATCTACAATAGAGGAGGCAAGAATATACAATGGGTAAAAGATGGTCTCTTCAATAAATGGTGCTGGGAAAATGGACAGCTACATGCAAAAGACTGAAGCAGGATCATTTTCTTACACCATACACAGAAACAAACTCAGAATGGATTAAAGGCCTAAATGTGAGACCTGAAACTACAAAATTCCTAGAAGAAAATATAGGCAGTAATCTCTTGGACATTGGCCTTAGCAACATTTTTCTAGATATGTCTCCTAAGGCAAGGAAAATAAAGCAAAAATAAAGTATTGGGACTACACCAAAAAACAAAAACAAAAACAAAAAACAAACAAAAAACAAAAACAAAAACAAAAAACCTTTCGCACAGCAAAGGAAACCATCGATAAAATGAAAAGGCAGCCTACTGCATGAGAGAAGATATTTGTAAATGATATATCTGCTAAGGCATTAATACCCAAAATATATAAATAACTTAACACCAAAAAATAAACAACAACAAATAATCTGATTTTAAAATGGGCAGAGGTGGACGCCTGGGTGGCTCAGTCAGTTGAGTGCCAACTCTTGGTTTCCACTCAGGTCAGAATCTGGGCTCCATGCTCAGCAGGGAGTCAGCTTCCCCTCCCTCTGCTCCTTCCCCCACCACCACTCGCACACACACTTCCGCTCAAATAAATACATTTTTTTAAAAAAAAAGTGAGAAGAGGACCCGAATAGACATTTTTTCAAAAAAAAAAAAAATCAGGATGCCTGGATGGCTCAGTCGGTTGAGTGTTACCTTTGGCTCAGGTCATGATCCCAGGGTCCTGGGATCGAGTCCCCTATCGGGCTCCCTGCTCAGCGGGGAGCCTGCTTCTCCCTCTGTCTGCCACTCCCCCTGCTTGTGCTCTCTCTCTCTAACAAATAAATAAATAAAATCTTTTAAAAAAAGACATGCAGATGACCAACAGACACATAAAAAGATGTTCAACATCACTAATCATCAGGGAAATGCAAATCAAAACCTTACACCTATCAGAAGACTAGAATCAAAAAGACAGATAACAGGTGTTGACGAGGATGTGGAGCAAAAGGAACCCTTGTGCATTGTTGGTGGGAATGTAAATGGATGCAGCCATGCATGGAAGCTCCTCAAAAAATTAAAAATAGACATATCATACAATCCAGTAATTCCACTACTGGGTAATTACCCAAAGAAAATAAAAACATTAATTTGAAAAGATATATTGCACTGTTATGTCTATTGCAGTATCATTTACAATAGCCAAGATATGGAAGCAATCCAAATGTCCACTGACAGATTACAGATCAACCCAAATTAGTTAATTTTTGGGTTAATCAAAAGAGAGATTATTCAGACAGACCTTATCTAATTACATGAGCCCTTTAAATCTGGGCCGAGCGATCAGAAATGGAGGAAGTCAGAGACTCAAGCAGTGGACATTTTCCTGCTTCCCTTGAAGGAATAATTGCCATGTTGAGAAGGTCATGGTAGCAAGGAATGGTGAGTGGAGTTGAGAATGGCCACAGTCAGCAGCCAGCAAGAAAACTGAATTCTGCCAAGAATTGGAAAAAGGCCCCCAAACCCTGGGAAGAAAGCAGCCTTATATCACCCATGTGAGACCCTGAGAACACACAACCATGCCATGCCAGACTCTTGACCCATGAAAACAGTGAGATTATAGATATGTGTTAAGCTGCTAAATTTATGGTAAATTTATGGTAAAAAAACAACAGAAAACTAACACAGGATCCCCAAGGACAGGGTTATCATCTAGGGAAAGTAGAGGCCTGTGGTACATTAAAGCTACAGAAGCTATGATTCCGCCCTCTATAGGTTAACTTATGAGTGTCAGAGAAATTGCTGGTGGCCTAAATAGGTGATGTTGGGGCTTCTCCCAAATTCCTCACCATCCTTCAGCCATTCTCACGCTCTAGAATCAGGTAGATCTGAGTCCAAATCTGAGGTCTGCCACTTACTAGCTATATGATCTTGGCCAAATTACTTAACTAGTCTATGCCTGGTAAGTCAGCAAAGATTACTATGTGTGTACAGTGCCAGTATGTATTAAAACACTTAACAAACATTAGATGATGACAATTGCCATTACTTAGCAATTTTATGTACAGGTAAGAGGATTGATGTCTACGCCTTAAAATAAGATGCTGAGAACAGGGAGACTCACTTGCCACTTCTCTATTTCAAAATTCTGGAGCACTTCCTATTGTCTGTGTTTAAACTCTTTGGTATGACATAGAAGAAACCTTTACAACCTGACACTGTTTTCACCTTTTCACATGTATTGTTTATTCTGCTTGAATCAGCACCTTTGCTTGAAGCCTTTCACCTGGTTGGCCGCTCTCCCTTCTATACATGCGCCCTTATACACCCCCATAATCCTATATTTCAATTGTTAACCTGCCAAATATTCCACTAAATTGCACATTGCTCGGTGGTCAGATTTCCATACCCACTGTCTGGCAGAGAACTAGGCAAAAAAGTGGGTAAGCCACACATTTTTAGAGAGCTGAATGTTCATTACTTCAATCCTCTAAGAAAAGCTACTTTCAGATGGAACTAAAAACCAAAGCTGTGGTCGTTGCTTCCATAGTACGAAGAGATGTTTAAACACTTGGCAATTATTTTTGTTTTCCAGCAATATGCCAGCGTAGGGAGGCTGTCAGGCAAAACTCTCATCCTCCTCTTCCCAAAGAGAAAACCAAAAGCATAATGAACCTAAACACAAAATGACACACCAAGCCAGAAGGCAGCCCTGAAATACCTAAAACAACCTATCTTACTAGAAGCTAGAAGCCAGGCTAGTCCCTTGGCCTACATGTTGGTTCACTAGAGAGAAGTGCTTCTTAATGTACATACCAGTCACCTGGGACTCTTGCTGAAAGGTAGAATCTGGTGGGGAGGGGTAAAAGAGCCAAGAATGTGCATTTCTCATAAACTGCCAGGTGATGCCAATGCTGTTGGTCTCCTGATACAGACCTCCAGCCTACACCTGTGCTGCCCAGTAAGGTAGCCACTAGCCACATGTGGCTCTTAAGCCCCGAAATCCGGCCAGTCTGAATTTAGATGAGCTGGAAGTCTAAATACATACCTGTTTTGAAGACTTAGTACTAAAAATAAAATAGCTCAGGAATTTGTACAGATTTTATATTGAACTAATACTGTATTGTATATAAGGGTTAAATCAAATGCGTTATTTCACTGTCTTTTTAAAAATTTCCTATGTGGCTCGCGCCTCACATATTTCTACTGGACAGCGCTGCCCTAGACTGACAACACGCCCAACTCTGAAGCTTCCACTACTGCGAGACTTTAAGAATAAAAGAGAATCCATCTCTTCCCTTAAGTGTTTCGAAAACATACCTTTTATTTCTCAACTATATGACACAACCCGAAATAAAAATGAACTAAAATGAAAACCGAGGTTTTATTAAATACATATATATGTAAATATACACACACACAGAGTCCTCTCATTTCGGCTTAGACTCCACCTAGAACACTACTTTTATCTCCCTCTGGTTCCCACGCCACGAGATCGAATTGCGTACGGGAAAACAATAACAAAAAAGCGGTCTCCGACCTGAAGCCAAACCAGGCTGTCCCGCCGCCCAAACCGAGGCTGAGAAAGCGGGTTGTCAGCGGGCAGCGCCTCCCGAGCTCCACCTCCTCCAGTGCCGACCTCCCCAAGATGGCGGGCGGCGGGGGCCGGCTTCCGCTTCCGGTGTGAGCAGCCGGGCCGGGGGGGCAAAATGGCGGCGGCAGTAAGGATCCGCGGCCGGTGCGAGCTGCCGCCGTGCTCCGGCCCAGGCTGGCTCCTCAGCCTTTCCGCCTTGCTGAGCGTGGCGGCTCGAGGGGCCCTCGCCACCACGCACTGGGTCGTCACGGAGGACGGGAAGATCCAGCAGCAGGTAGCGGCCAAGGCGTCCCTCTCCGCCCGCGCCCGCCCTCGCCCCAGGGGATTCCCAGGTCCGGCCCCTGGCTGTTTGGCTCCGCGCGGTCCCGCCCCCAGCCTACCTTCCCACGGTCCCGGCGCCGCGGCCCGAGCGATCCTAGTACTCAGACCCGGCGTAGCCCCCTCCCCATTTGTCCTCTGGCCCTCGCCTCAGCCGCCTGCAAGTTCTTAGCCTTCCACCCCTGGGGTGGCTTGCCGCGCGGGTAGAGTCGCCCGGCCGTGGGGGTTCGGGCTCTGGGGACATTTTGTTGGGCTTTAGAAATCGCAGATTCATTATCCTTGCCTCTGTTCCTCTCGGGCCCACCACGCGTCACCAGCCCTCCCCGAAGAAGTAGAAAGCATGTGGCAGCGCCGGGGTGTGCGCGAGTCCCAGGGCGGTGACAGCTTCGACACCCCTAGGCAGTGGGTCATCTAATGCTTCTTCCCCCCGTCTCCTCTTCCACATGTGTCGGGCTGTGGTGGTTTCAGTTTGTACCGTTACCCAGGTCAGCAGGGGCTCTTTAGAGACAACACACACTTTCCTTCCGAAGGAATGCTTGAAGATGCCTCTGGTGGCGTTGCCTGCATCTTTTCAGCTGAAACTGCCCTCGTTTCCCAGTGTACTTTGCACTGTTTCTTTACCTAGTTCCTGTGACCCAGCCCCGCAAGGAGGATATGTGATTTCCTGGATTCTTGTGTGCCCGAACTAATTGCTCAGAGGAGAGATTGCTTTTCTTTTTTTTTTTTAAAGATTTTATTTATTTATTCATGAGAGACAGGGAGAGAGAGAGAGGCAGAGGCAGAGGCAGAAGGAGAAGCAGGCTCCCTGCTGAGCAGGGAGCCCGACGCGGGACTCGATCCCAGGATCCTGGGATCATGACCTGAGCCGAAAGCAGACGCTTAACCATCTGAGCCACCCAGGCGCCCGGAGAGATTGCTTTTCTTACATGACTTTATGATTGCCTACATTTTGTGAATGCTGCTGATCCCTCAACAGTACGTGTGTGTGCTCTGCTACAGAATCTTGGTAAACTTAATGACTTCCAATACTTGAGAGCAATCCTGAAAAGTCCAGCAAACATTTACCAAGTGAATTGTGTGCCCCATGCAATTTAGCTCCCTGACCTTAAATGTATTAATCATTATCGTGTGAAATTATGGACCTTTGGGTTGCGTGTAATGAATAATGACAGGAACACAATGCCAGGTTTACTTTTTTATGAAGTGAAGTTCACGTGATGGCAAATTTTACCTCAAGTATAATGAGTGAGTTAAACAATTTAAAAATCGGATTGGTATTGGTGAGTGGTTTTCAGTATATGTGAGAAAAGAGACTGGCTTTTTACTGGATGGCATTTTCTATATACCTAACTTAAATTAGAAGAAATCTCCTTTTCATGGCCATACCATTTTAGATTTAAAAGATAGGTGTGTGTTTCAGAAACTCTAGAATTAAACACTGCTAGTTCTTTCCTTAACAAAAGGTTAGAAATCTTATGTGAGTCCTGGCTGCTTCCTCCACCCACTTTCGTTTGTTTCCTGATGATAGTTTTCCCTGAGGCCCTCATGAAGGGATACATGGAATTAAGTCACTCTTGCTGCAATTTGGGGAGCCCTTCTCCTATTGGCTCTTCTGCAGTATTGTTTTTGGCCACAGCTATTTATACACTATGACATTGACTTCTCCTTCCCATTTTGGTGTCCTGCCACTCAGCCAAGGAAGTAGCCCATCTGAAAAGTGAAAGCTGGTAGAAATGTATTATTTGCTGAACCTTGCAGTGGGAAAGCAGAACCTGATTTGTTTAAAAAACAAAACCAAAACCACATTTTTTCTTTTTGCACATTGGATACTTATGTTTTAGTGGAAGGGAAGGTAGGGGTTACTGTTAACTTGCCTCAGAAAGGGGGAAATCTGAAGAATCTTTTGGAAATCTGCCAAGTATCCCTGCAGTAAGTAGTTAGGCTTAAAGTTAGGAAAGTAAGATTTCTTTACTACATGCTTTTAAAAATTATCTTTTTCAGTGAATTTGCCAGTACTTTGCTACATAGCATTGACAATGTTAAGTTCAGAGAACCACAAAATTTTGTATCAGAAGAAATAAAGTTGGTGTCTACAGCGTAACAAGAAGAGGCTAAGGGGGTGCCTGGGTGGCTTAGCTGGTTAAGCGACCCACTCTTGTTTTTGGCTCAGGTCCTGATTTTTGAGCTCAGCATGAAGTCACTTGTTCCTCTCCCTCTGCCCCCCCCCAGGCTCCCCCACCCCCACGTGTGCACTTTCTCCCTCAAATAAATTTAAATTAAAAAACAAACAGACAAGAAGAGGCCAGTGGATTTAATCTGAGGGAAAAGCAAAACTTATAAATAAAGTAGAAGAGTTGAATACATGATCAGCTTCTGAGTGCCACTCTGATAGTTGTGCATGCATTATCCATGCTGCCCTTCCTGGCAGTAATTTGAATGCAGGCAGAATCCAAACCTCAGTTTTGATTGTGATTAATTATCACATATGTTTATGGTTATTAAAGAATTGAAAGATCCCTTTATTATATGGATTTGGGTATACTGCAGATCTATTCATATGTTCAGAAACAAAAGCTTTACATATATGTAGGATATATATATATGTAAATGGTATATTATATATATATAAATGATATCTTAACTGACATACCAAATGCCTTGCTACTTGTTTTTCGTTATAATAGCTGAATGAGAACAGAAGGGTGCTTTAATTTTAAAGTGGTCTAATATCAGGGAGAGGGCTAAGAGCAAACTGAAATGGCAATCTTAGAATATGAGAGTGGCAAATACCTTTTGAAACTCTTTGCCTAATATTTAAACCTGTCCAAATTAGATATAATAGGTAATTGTTTTCCATAATGAACTTGGAGAAGTACTTATGAATTAAAAATCTGAATTACCCAAAATACAGATTTACACAGGGATAGTTAACATCACTATAGTTAAAGTTTTAAGTACATTAAGCAGTTCTTCCCAGGAGAAGAGAACATTTGTTTGGTTTTTCTATTTCAAGGCTTAGCAAATGATAAAGATAAGTACCCACAAGTTAGGGACTGCTGACTTGTGAACATGCAAATGTGTCTGAAGCCCTGAATCTGTAAGGGGCTTGAAATGGGGCTTCAGTTAGAGCCGGAAGCAGCCATTCCTCCAGGCAGCCTCCTCACTGTCAGCGCTGTGGTTGCTTCTAGCAGTAGCAAGTAGTGAGCACTTGGTGTGGCAGCTCAGGGGATTGTTCCTTTCCACAATCCCTGCCTGAGCTGGGAAGCATGTCTTATATGTTTTTAGGTTCCATGTTTACTGAGCTGCCACTGAACTCCCCGGAGCATTGTCCAGGGAATCCTGGAGCTGGGATATGAAGAGAATGCTCTAGTCTCTAAGTTCCTGTCCCACTGCAGTCAAGGGACAGCTAAGAAAAGGTGCTCCTCTTCTCTTCAACTATAGGTTTTTTTCCCAGCTTTGGGCTTTGGCATACCTCTGATCCCCTAGTACCCCCTGTACCTTAAATAAAGCAAGGATCCTTGGGGTCCATGGACTTAAGTAGTGAGCTTTTATAATCTGGGTTACTAGGAGGATCTATGTGTAATCAAGTCAATGGATCATTTGGTTGACTTCATTGTGAAGAATAGTCTTTTAAGATAAATTTTGTGGGTTTTTTGTTTCCTTTTTTCTATTTTTTTCCTCATTACTAGTATGGCAACATTTATTTTCTATTTTTACCAAAACCGTCTGGAGAGTCACTTGAATGGAAGGTTAAATGAACTTTTGTGAATTAGCCTAAGAGCCTAACCATTAATGTATCACATCATTTCTGTGGAAAAAACAATGTTCCATGTTCTAAATTACCAGCTAACAGATGAATTCCTGAAATGTTACCAGTTTGTCTTAGACTTACTGAATTCAAAGGTGGTACTTCTAGCCCTGGGTTCATTGCCTCCTGATAGTCTCTCTCTTTATAAGTGGAGGTCTAAAACTTGAAGTAAATAAAGAGTATAATTGTTACCAACTCTGTCATAACATTATAATATTTATTTTCTTGGCTACTGTTTCCCTCTTCTCTAATCTTAGATCCATAGAGCTTTAGGTTTGGAAACAATTCTTAAAGGATATGTAGTACAACTCATAGGAGAGAATGTCGTCCAAAGTCACACAACTAATGAGTGGCATTTAGTGATAGCAGTAAGTAAAAATCTGTAGTAGCATGCAGGTGAGCACCTTGTACTCAGAAAGATTGAAGTACTTCCCCCCCCCCCCTTTCATAGTACCTACAAATGAAAGAAAGAAAAGAAAAAGGAAAAATGGGAATAATGAAGTAAAAAGTCTTCTCTTGGCCAGTTTGCTTTACCTCTGCAGAATATTTTGTGATGACTTTTAAGTTGGGAGTGGGTGTGAATTAGGTGTGAATTAATTTGGGGTTATTTAATCATCTTGCCTTCTCTCAAGCTAATGTGTTTAGAGTCCAGATCCTTTTAACTGCTTAGAACAAATGAGGTTTCTAGTAAAACCGATGCTCTGAAGCCTAGCAACCCTGGCATAAGAAGTGTTTGACAGGCAGTTATTTCAGCAACTGTGATTTGGGCAAGAGCTATCGGATTTAGTTGGACAGACAGGCTAAATCTTTATCTCTTGGTCTTTAATAGCTTATTAAGTGAAGGAGTGGTTTAATTTGGGTCTGATATTAAGTAATTGCTTCATCTGGGAGAGGGCATCCAGATGATACTATGAAGCTGACAGCTTTCTTTCAGTACTTTTCAAATTGAGCCCATCTTTTTGTCATAAAGTGTTGTTTCTATGTTTATACACTTGAGGGATTTACTTGGACCTGAGAGGTCATGGTGGCTTATTCACTAACTTGCTAAGCCTTTGCAGTTTGTCCTAGACGTTGGCATCAAAGCGATTCTCATTCAATCCATTTTTTTAGACTTCCCACTATTATTTTTTTTCTTATAAATCACCCAG